AGGCTGAGTGCCAAAGAACTGATGCTTTTGAACTGTGGCGCTGAAGAAGACTCTTGAGAGTCCCTTGGACTGCAAGTATATCAAACCAGTTAATCCTAAAGGAAATCAGTCCTTTATATTCATGGGAAGGGCTGATGCTGAAGCTGAAGCTCCAGTACTTTGGCCACCAGATGCAATGAGCCAACTCATTGGAAAATATCCTGATGCTGGCAAATATTGAAGGTAGGAGGAGAAGGAAACAATGGAGGATGAGATGTTTGGATGCCATCACCAGCTTGATGGACATGAGTTTGAGCAAGTTCTGGGAGATGGTGAACAGGGAAGCCTGGTGTGCATCTGGTCACAGAGTTGGACATGACTGGGCAACTGAACTGAATACAGTGCATAACTTAATCTTCCATAATCAGTTTTCATCATGTAATTAGCTAGGAATTAAAATAAGCTTCCAATATCTAGCCACTAGTATCTAATTCTAAAATCCTTAACCTGGGACTCAAAATTTCCCCATGCCTAAATTTCCTGTGTAAAATAGGGTTGATAATGCTTATATGATAGGAGTAAGATGCATGTAAGGAATCTAGCTCAGTATCTAGGGCTTATTATTAGTGCCTGCAGTGTGAATTAAACATATGTTTTCAATCTTTTCTAATTCTTTTGTACATACAGCTAGCCTATACTTTAGTCAACCTACACTAATGGCTATTCCTTATACAGTAAAGGACTGTTTCCTGGATCACTATCATTTGAATATGCATTCACAAATTTTTTATATAATTGAATATCAGTTGAAAATCTTATGATTGTCATTGAGATTATATAATAAAATGTTTTAGAAAAACACACTAAAATATACAGGGGTGTAATGATAATGTCTGATGTTTGTTTTCATTGCTTTAATAAAGTAAAAGGATAAATGAAGCAGATGTAGCAATATCTTGCTAACTATTTAATCTGGATGACAGATATATAGGGGTTCATTATACTATTATTTCTACTACTGTGTATGTTTAAAATTTTCATAACAAAAAAGAATTTAAAATAAATATACCATAGGTGAATTTGAGTTTACCAGGTAAGCAAGTGCCAGAGTTCATGATCTCATTCACGTTTAAGAGGCAAAAACCTATTTCAATGGTGGGGAGTTACAGGGATCAGAAGGCAGAATTCTTTTATCTTCCATAAACAAAAGGAGAGCATGTAAGCCTTAGTGACTGTGGAGGAGAAAAATGACCTTAAGATTGACACAATTTTTAGGAGACTTGTTTTCTTTAATAAAAAGTCAAGAACATGTAAATTTTAAATTATAGTGATTTTGATTTTAAATACAATCCAAATTCTCAGAATTGTATAAGATTGGCCAGATATAGTTTAGTGTAAACAGAAGGGCTTTATTTTGAGGGGCTACAAAATCACTGCAGACGATGGTGACTGTAGCCATGAAATAAAAAGATGCTTACTCCTTGAAAGAAAAGTTATGACCAACCTAGACAGCATATTAAAAAGCAGAGACATTACTTTGTCAGCAAAGGTTCGTCTAGTCAAGGCTATGTTTTTTCCAGTAGTCATGTATGGATGTGAGAGTTGGACTACTAAGAAAGCTGAGCACGGAAGAATTGATGCTTTTGAACTGAAGTGTTGGAGAAGACTCTTTAGAGTCCCTTGGACTGCAAGGAGATCCAACCAGTCCATCCTAAAGGAAATCAGTCCTGAATGTTCACTGGAAGAACTGATGTTGAAGCTGAAACTCCAATACTTTGGCCACCTAATGTGAAGAACTAACTTATTTGAAAAGACCCTGATGCTGTGAAAGATGGAAGGCGAGAGGAGAATAGGACGACAGAGGATGAGACGGTTGGACGGCATCACTGACTCAATGGACATGAGTTTGAGTAAACTCCGGGAGTTGGTGATAGACAGGGAGGCCTGGCTGTGCTGCAGTCCATGGGGTCGCAAAGAGTCGGACACTACTGAGCGACTGAACTGAACTGAACTGAAACAGAAAGGACATAATAAGAATCCTAAATCATAGAGAAGCAGAGAGATTATTTTAAAGCTGTTTTCTAGAAAGAAGTGTCTTGTGAAGGTATATAGGACAATGGAAACATTATGGAATTATGTCATTTACAGTGTTCTTAGTATAACAGGAAGGGTGATAAGTAAGTTAATAAACAATCTTTACATACATAGAGGATTTTCAACTGGGTAAAGCACATCCTGTAGTGTCTTTTTATTTTTTCACAGAAAAATTAGATTTTTGAATTAGGTTTTTGAGATATCTTCCACTTGAAAAGATTTATCCTCTAAGTTAAGACATTTTCAATTTTCTTTATTTACAATGTAAAAACCAACCAGTAATATATAGAGTGTCTAGTGAGGTAGCCTGATAAAACTTATTTCAGGAACATAGAATAAAGCCGCAAAAAGAAAAAAACAATTACAAAAAAATACAAAGTACTTGAGGAAAATGTCAGCCAAACTCAGTTCATAGGAAAGGTTAAGAAATTAAAATATAATTTTGAAATCAAAGAAAGATTACAGATATAGTAATCATGCCATCATGGCTTTTAAATGTCTCAGTTGCATACATAAAAAGGAACCTCTTAGATGGAAAAAGACAAAGAGAAATTTAAAATGTACTGAAGAGTTTAAACTAGCTCAGTGCATCACTTCACAATAGAATGCTTATTGTTGTTGCATGCTTCAATTCCTCATCCATATTAACTCTCTATTCTAGCAAGAAGCTTATTCTAGGATAGGAATTTGGATTTCAGATGAGATTAATAATCAAAAGATGCAGATCTGAGTCCCAACATCACTACTTATGTGACAGAGGGAAAATTATGACTCAATCTTGTTTTCCATTTATAAAATAAAAACATAAATACTGACTTCTGTTAAAATTTATATTGAGGAATTCAGAGAAACCCTAAGTAGAGCAGGGAAAAGCTAGCCAGTCATACATATGGTCATCATGTGACAGCCGTGCAATTCAGGAGACCAACAATGTGTTGACATTCATAATGCTTCCACCGTTCTAGAGGTAGAATGTAGGCATAGAAAAATGACCATTAACATATCATACATACAGGCCTTAATTTTGAATTACCAATTAAGATATTAACCATTTATCTGAAAAAAAAACCATATAAAAGCAACTGTGGAGTAGTGAGAATCGTCTACACTGGTGCAAAAAAAAAAAGCGACATTATCTGTAGAAAATTTGAAAATGGTAATAAACCAACAAAAGCTGATCAGCTTTAATTATCACCATGATCTGGCAATTTTAAACAATGTCAACGATAAAAGCACACCTCTCCAGAAACACATTTCTTGGTCCTACTGTTGAGTTTATATATATATATATGGTGGTGGTTTAGTCGCTAAGCTGTGTCTGATTCTTGCAACCCCATGGACTGTAGCCCACCAGGCTCCTCTGTCCATGGGATTTTCCAGGCAAGAATACTGGAGTGGGTTGCCATTTCCTTCTCCAGGGGAATCTTCCCAACCCACGAATCGAATCCAGGTCTCCTGAATTGCAGGCAGATTCTCTACAGACTGAGCTATGAGGGAAGCCCTTTCATATATATATATATATATGAAAATGAAATGAAAGTGTTAGTTGCTCAATCATGTCTGACTCTTTACAACCCCATGGACTGTAGCCTGCCAGGCTCCTCTATCCATGGAATTCTCCAGGCAATAAAGAATACTGGAGTGGGTAGCCATTCCCTTCTCCAGGGGATCTTCTGACCCAGGGATTAAACAAACCCAGGTCTCCTGCATTGCAGACATTCTTTACCATGTGAGCCACCTGGGAAGCCTTAATATATATATATATATGATATGTGCTCATTTGATGCACATATATATATATATATAATATCACTAATAAGCATTGTATTGTACACAGAATCTAATTTAGAGAACTCCCAGTTATACCAATAGCACCTGACACAACACACACAGACTCAACTACAGGAGTTCCTTTGGAGAATAAGTTCAAAACAGTTTAGAGTTATTGAGACTCACTTTGGGTGCAGTTCACTTCTCCAATTTTCTGGTAAAACATACCCATATCCTTAATGACAGTGCAGTAAATGTCTCCACTTTTGGAGCAGGGTTCACTATGCTTATTAGTTTTATACTGCTGCTGTAACAAATCACAAACTTAATGGCTTAAAAGCTTTAAATGGCTTCAGTATTCCTTTCTATAAATGTAAAAATTAGTCTCTTTCCCTGCCTCCAAAAGATGTCATGGAGATAAACAACTGGATTGGTACCGCAATCTGAATAAATCTGATGTTTAAATACAATGTCAGGACTGGCCTCATATCACCTTCCAAATAATTCAGAGCAAGAACTCAAATCTCAAACTTCCTGGCCTCTGCAATGTTACCACTTACTAATAGGCTCCCCCTTCCTCCAGTTTTCAGTAACAATAACACTTCCTTTTGATCCCTCACCAACAGCATCTTTGAAGTCCATATTTCTACTGAAAGTCTGTACAAGGGAATTTAGGCTACATAGTATTCTTCCAGCTTACACCCAGTGCCTGATTCCAAAGTCATTCCCACACTTTAGGTACTTATTACAGCAGCAGTACACTTTTATTACCAAAGTCTATACAGTTTTCTACTGCTCTATAACAAATTAACACATAATAAGACAATACCTATTATGACCTCACTAGTCCTGAAGATTAAGAGTCCAGGTATGACATAACTGGGTCTTCACAGGGCTGAAATTATGGTGTCAACCAGCACTACAATTTCATCTGTGGCTTGAGTACTTCTCCCAAACTTACCAGTTGTTGACAAAATTCAGTTCCTTTCAACTCTAGGAGTAACATCCCATTTTTCTTGCTGTCTCTCAGCCTGGGGGTATTCTCAGCTTCCAGATGTCACCCTCCACACTTTGCCACCTGATGCCCTTCTGTCACATATCTGTTTGCTTCAAGGTCAACAGAACATCTGCTGCTGCTTCTTGTCTCCTTTAAGGTCTCACCTGATTAGGCCAGACTCACCCAGAATATTACCCCTTTTGATCAATTCAAAATCAAAAATAAACAATCCAATCAAAAAGTGGGCCAAAGAACTAAATAGACATTTTTTCAAAGAAGACATACAGATGGCTAACAAACATATGAAAAGATTCTCAACATCATTCATTATCAAAGAAATGCAAATCAAAACCACAATGATGTTCCATTTCACGCCGGTCAGAATGGCTGCCATCAAAAAGTTTACAAACAGTAAGTGCTGGAGTGTGTATATAAAAGGGAACCCTCTTACACTCTTGGTGGGAATGGAAACTAGTACAGTCATCATGGTGAACAGTGTGGCAATTCCTTAAAAAACTGGAAATAGAACTGCCATATGACCCAGCAATCCCACTGTTGGGCATACACATTGGGGAAACCAGAATTGAAAGAGACACATGTACCCCAATGTTCATTGCAGCACTATTTACAATAGCTAGGACATGGAAGCAACCTAGATGTCCATCGGTAGACAAATAGATAAGGAAGTTGTGGCACATATACACAATGGAATATTACTGAACTATAAAAATGAATGCATTTGAGTTAGTTCTAATGAGGTGGATGAAACTGGAGCCTATTATACAAAGTGAAGTAAGTCAGAAAGAGAAACACCAATACAGTATATTAATGCATATATATGGAATTAAGAAAAACAGTAATGACGACCCTATATGTGAGACAGCAAGAAACACAGATGTAAAGAACAGACTTTTGAACTCTGTGGAAGAAGGTGAGGGTGGGATGATTTGAGAGAACAGCATTGAAACATGTATATTACCATATGTAAAACAGATGACCAGTGCAAGTCTGATGCATGAAGCAGGGCACTCAAAGCTGGTGCTCTGGAACAACCCAGAGAGTTAAGGTGGGGAGGTGGGAGGGGGTTCAGGATAGGGGGACACATGTGCACCCATGGCTGATTCATGCCAATGTATGGCAAAAACCACCACAATACTGTAATTAGCCTCCAATTAGAATAAATTAATTTTAAAAAATCAAATGGTTAGCACAAAGTGTTCTGTGTTCTTATTTCCCTTCTTCTTACCAGCTTTTATAACCTAGTTTATAGACAGATGCCTCTTGTTTTAAAGCAGTGTGACTTTCAACAGTATGTTTCATATTCTCTGTAAAATCAAAGAGAAAGTTAACAGAGTAAAGCATGTTCTTAATCTCAAAAAGTCCACCTTGTATGTTATATTAATATTCTACCTTTTAAAAATTATATTCTATAAAAAGAAAACTTTAACAGATGTTAAAAACTTTTAAGAACTGGCCCAAGAGAATTCGTGGAGAAACCTATTTGCTTTGTGCACAATTGTTTCTGCTGGCTGTGTGCATTTTTAATGTAGCTCTTACCTAAGGGATAACTCATTCATTTTAACTTTTGTCTTCTGTGTCCACTGAGGGAAAAAAAGTCTCATTCACCCTCCTCTGCTCTGGTATACCTTTTCTTGCATGATCATGCTGTGATTAGACTTTTAAGAGTATTTACTGTGTGCACTATAAACACTGCAGCTTCCTCTAGTTTTAGCAAACAAAGTCAGTATGTCTCTGGGGACATGCACAAATCTCTACATTTCTAAAGATAACTGAAAACATGCACTCTTAAAAGTCATTAGATGAGAAGGAACTTCCCCCCATCCATACAAAATCATTTGGTCTATTTTTGGAGTCTGACAAAATACCATTTAGAAATATGTTCATTTTGTATTTAATGTATATGTGCTATTGTCCATAGTATTATAAAAGGAAAGCCAATCTACTAAGCTTTGTATTTCATTATTAATTTCTGCTGTATTTCAGGTAACAACTTGGTTACAAAAGAAAAGCAGGTACTAAAGCAGGTCTAGTCTCTTGCTCCTCGAATGTGAACTGCACTGTGTTCACTTGTCTGACAGATTCAGGCTGCTACTATTATCCCTGTAGAGTATTTATCAAATCTTTTGAGAGACATAGCAAATAAAATCAGAAAGCTACAGTCACTCAAACAGCAAGTCAATTTTATGTAAGAATTTCTAATCCAAAAGCATGTGCAACTTTACAGGTTTGAATGAATTTCACTACAGGAAGTAGTGAGACGCCCTGAGAAATAAGCATATATCATTATATGTAAGACGTGACAAAGATTATGCACTAAAAAAATCGTGTAAAACAATTTTCAATACCTTTTAAAAGTCAGTCACAGATATATAGTCATAAGAACCAAAAGAAATTTATTTACAAAATTTCTTACTTGACTGGTGGTGAGAACCAACAAACCATCAACTAAGACCCCACTACTTCAAGTCAGTTCACACAAGAGAACAACCACTGCAGTTTCTGATAATTAGGCCAGAAAGATGTCCTTCTGCATATCCTTCCACTAAAAAAGGAGATATTAATACAATTGACCACAGGGACCTGTGCAAGTAGCAACATGGTACTTGCAGACTCACGAATCATACCTTCTAGAGTGCTGTTCCCTGACTACCTCACATAGTTGTTTCACTACTTTTGTTGATTTCTTTGTAGGCTTCTTTCTCTTTTTCTCCTTCTCTGTTGGCTCCTTTTTCTTCTTCTCTGCTGTTGGCTCCTTTGTCTCCTCCATTGCTGGCTTCTTTCTCTTCTTTGTCCTTAATACCAGTATAAACTGCTTTGTTATAACCTTCTCGATTCCGAGCAATTTCAATGGCAAAAAATTGTATCCTGGGTGCTGAAAGGTGAGTAGAATTGATTATTGTCCTAGTCATAGTTAATTCTCTAAACCTAGTGGAAACTGACAAAGTTGAACTAACATACAAAGCATTCAAGTATAGTCATAAGATTCAGAGATGTGGAATTCTAATCCTATACTAAATGAAGCTGAAAATACTTAATCTATCTCCAGTTACTCAAGATACAGTAATATGATCTTTAAAGTTATAACAAAATGATTCCCAAACTATCCATGTCATTGATTCATCAGTAAAACCAGACCCCTCACTCTCCTTATTCAGAAACAATCCCAGAGGCAAGAAACTCACCAAAGATGGTGTTTTCTTCAGTGTAGCCCTGTGAACAGTTCAGTCGCAGCAAAGTACCATAGTTGAAGTCTTCCACAATCCCATCGAACTTCAAGCAGAATGGCCTCCACTTCTATAAAGGCAAAAAAGATATCTTAGCTAAAAATGCAGAAGGCTGGTGAAGTCAGGCCAGGAGAGGGGCTTCTGTTTTCCCAGTAAGGAAAATAACCACAGTGAAAGAGATTAGAATTGAGCTGATCGCTAGTTTCAAGAGCTGTGAGTTTCTGTGCTATCTTTGGCATCTTTAAGCTGGTATTTTCCAACATGAACAATATTTTAATCTGATAAAATACTTAAATCCTTGTCTAGAGATGAGAATTAAATTTTAATTTCTTAAGCATAGTCTCTGTTTTAAGTTATTGGCTAGTTCAGCCCAAAATGGTTACTCATTCCCACTGAAGCACAAATAAGACAAAGAAGGCATGAATTAGGCCCAAAGTCACAAGTTAAATTTTAAGAAAGAAGTCCATTCAACAAAGGCAATTTTCCAAAGATCAGTAACAGCATGCTTAGAGTTAAAAGTTTTCATTCTTCATAAACCAAGAGTCTACTCTCAAAGAAAATTATTTCCTAAGTATAAGCATTTTAGTGCTCTGTAGAAGATAATCAAGTAAGCAATGCAAAACACAAGTTTTCCAATTATCCACAGCTTGTGATATGATCTTAAATCCAGAGGACTCAAACACCTCTCTGTACTCTATTTGCCAACCTTCTATCCAAGCCTTCTGGCTAAACTACTCACATAAAAAAATTTATTCCTTCTCCCCTGAAAGAGCTAGGTGTGTAGTGATGAAAGGTCCAAACCAAAGTGGAGAAAAAAACCATATTCAGTGAACATGAAAAATCCATAAGCCAGGAAAACATTCATTTAATAACATATTAGTTTATTAAACTACATAAAAGTCCTGCTTCTTTATATATTTGCCTTAAAACAATCCACCCCCAAGTCTAAAGGTATAAAAATGTATTCATGATCAGTAATTGTTGGTCAGATGCTAGGCAGTATTTAAAAGAGAGGAATCTTACCTCTTTAGCTGTTTCTGATTTGAGTTCTTCTGGATCCAGTATATCTATCCTGAGATTCTTAAAATTTTCCCGAAACTCAGAATAGATTTGGTCATCCACTTTGGTGAGTTTCAGGAACTGTGGGTCAACTGATGAAATCAGCTGCCAGAGAGTAAGAAAACATACAGATGCTAGTCTCTATTCGTTATACTTCTGTCCCCTCTTCCCCAGAAAATCCTCATGGTTCTCAGGGCAGGAGAGTTCATTAGAATATATAGACAGCCTAGGTTTCAGATGAAATCATGACATAATTCTAAAGAGCCATAATATATTACAGTCCCTTCCACCAATTTAAACTACTTTGGTCTTAGTAATGCCTGGCTATTACCCTCTGTGGGTTGTTTATTCAGTCAAGAAACATTTGTTTAGTGCCTACTAGGGGCTTCCCTGGAGAAGGAAATGGCAACCCACTCCAGTATTCTTGCCTGGAGAATCCCAGGGACTGAGGAGCCTGGTGGACTGCCGTCTCTGGGGTCGCACAGTCGGACACGACTGAAGCGACTTAGCAGCAGCAGCAGCAGCAGCAGGGGCTTCCCTGGTGGCTCAGAGGTTAAAGCGTCTGCCTCCAATGTGGGAGGCCCAGGTTCGATCCCTGGGTTGGGAAGATCCCCTGGAGAAGGAAATGGTAACCCACTCCAGTATTCTTGCCTGGAGAATCCCATGGACAGAGGAGCTTGGTAGGCTACAGGCTACAGGCCACGGGGTCACAAAGAGTCAGACACAACTGAGCGACTTCACTTTCACTTTCTTTTCAGGGGCCAGAAAGGCTTCCCTGGTGGCTCAGTGGTAAAGAAGTTGCCTGCAATGCAGAAGACCATGGTTTGATCCCTGGGCTGGAAAGATCCCCTGGAGGAGAGCATGGCAACCCACTCCAGTACTCTTGCTTGGAGAATTCCATGGACAGAGGAACCTGGTGGGCTATGTGGTGGGCTATATGGGGTCACACAGAGTTGGACACGACTGAAGTGATTAAGCAGCAGCAGCTGCAGCATGGGTCAGACATCCTTTTGCTGGTTAGCAACAGAACACTGGGCAAGGAAGCACGACTCCTCACTGTCAAAGCAAAATTCACTTCCATACCCCTGTTCTCTGTAGATAAGATTTTAGAGTAATAAAAATTATCTCCAAAACATAAGTATTTAACTTACTGAGAATGGTGCTTAGCAGAGCACTACACACTGAAATTACATATTTAATTCTGCTTCATAAAGAACATAGACAACTCACTTTGTAGTAGATTTCAGCATGCTGCATTGCTCTCATGGCCCAAGCCATCTCGATATCAGGCTGCAAAGGAGTGAAGAATGCCAGGTCAGAAATCACCTAATTTTGCTACTAAAGAACAAATTTAAAAAGTCTGCGAATGTCTAGTTAATGTTCAAGAGGGCTACTAAGCTTGGTGTTACTATCAAAGGTTAAAAACTGGACTATTGAGTCTGGAAAATATAATAATCCTCTTGTCCTTATGACAACCAAAAGAAAACCTACACAGCCTAACAAACAAAATGAGCCACTGGCTGTCTCCCCAGCAGTTAGTGAAAGTATAGAAGACTACATAAAGCAGCAGATAAATCATCTCAGGACTGAGTTAAATTATTTTAAAAGTGAAATACCACATACACCACTAAGGACAAAGTAAGATAACAGAAGTGAGGTTACTCTTCACATTTAAGACGGTAGCATGTCATAACCCATCATTTGTGTTTATCAGATAGCCAATTCCCTATCCTACAATACTTAGAAATGAATCAGTATCACGAAGCAGGCTAGATTATAAAAAGCCTTACAAAGCACCTGTTTCATCGGAATCTCTTACACCAAATAGACGAATTTATTTCATTGACTCCAGAAAAAAATTTTGCATTTTTACCTCCATGCCTTAGACCATGCCCTTTTCCTGACTGCCAATCCATGTCCTTTGTCCAACTACATTTTGGAGATCCAGTTCCATACCCACTTCCTCAGCGGTTTTCCTCTACTGTCTGGGTCCTTAGGGTTTCTTCTTTGGCTAAACTCCTTCGGATCTTATACCCTGATCCGCCAATCTACCAGCATACATCACATTATTATTAGAGCGTTATCACTATTTCCATGTCCGTGTGTCTTATAACTCAAAATACATCATGGGTTTTCTCCTTAGGATCTAAACCAGACACCAGTGAACTTTACTGCACAATGGAACCACCCTGGGATCTTTAAAAAACTGATTCTTGACTCTCCCCCCCGAGATATTGTGATTTAACTAGCATGGATTGCAACCTGAACACTGGGATATTTAAAACATTCCCAAGTAACTCTAAAGAGCAGTACAATTTGGGAACTACCCCCATTGGCATTAGGCCTGCGTTTGGGGACCGAAAAGATTAGAATTAATTGAAAGGCGCAGTTTCTGGCAGACACAGGAAGAGTCTACAGAAGATAACTGGGTAAAGGGTTACAATTTGGTGGCGAGCCCTACGGACTGAGTCATACTCACATCGTTGCCATAAGACTCGGCTGGGAGAGAAAGAGCATGTGCCACTGACACCAGTTCCCCGGAAACCTAGGAAAGGAAAAAGAGATGGGGAAGGAACGTTCGAGGTTCGACCCAGCTCGGCTTCCCCACTCACCCGACCACAGAGCAACGTCTCACCAACTCCTCAGTTCCACCGGTCGCCTCCATGTTGCAGCCCACAAAGCGTGGTCCCACTTCTCCGAAAATGACTTTTGCCGTACTCCTTCCTCGGTTTTCAGTTGGTTGAAAACGGAGGGCGGGCAAGAGCGACTTCCATCCGGCTGCGCCTGCGCCTGCGCCTGCGCCACACCCTCCCTCGCCGGGAGGCGATACTCCCAGGCCCCTCCTCACTCGCCCTGCAGAGGAACAAAGGCGTGGCTTAGATGGCTGCTGGAGCACTAGGAGGTGGTTCAAATGTAAATTTCGCATCCCCGCTGCACTGTCTTGCTGTTATTCAAATTTACATTCTCCATTTGTGCTTGTATGCCTTTTCGTTGGGGACATACATACTTCGCAATACCCCAATCAGCAACTAAGTTATAAACAAGCATGATACTAGGAAATGGAGTAGGTAGTAGGTCAAGGAAAAATTATGCTGGTAAGATGCTAAATTCACAGCGAAGGTTTCATTTTCTTACCCTGGGGGTCTAACTCTCCCAAGAATTAGGCGCTTTAGATCATGGGCCTGTCATCCACCATGATTTGGGGAGAGCAGAGGGGCTTTGTATGCCGAATGTTAGAGAGTTGAGACTCTACCCTAAAAACAATGGTAAGCTACTGAAGGCCTTTAACTAGACCAGCCTCATGATCAAATTTAAATCATAAGAAGGTCACTGAAGTACCATATGGAAGGTAAATTTGAGGAAGGCAAAACTGGAAGCAGACTAACTAGAAGGCATTGGGTGGTTAAAAACCTAAGCTGAGGCACTGACAGCTGAGGTGGAAGCTGAGAATTAATAAGGGAAACAGAATCTTTTTGACTAATTGGATATGGAGGATAAAGAAGAATTAGGATTCCAGCATGACTCACAGGTTTCAGAATACAATTGGGGGATAAATGTCATTGAGTTAGAAAACACAGGAGGAGGGATGATGAGTTTAATGAAGAACCTATAGAACATTAGGGTAGAGTTGACTAGTCAGAGGGAGATCTGATCATAGATATAAATCTGATAGTTGATAGTTGAGATTTAATTGAGTTGTCCCAGGGAAACTATGAAGAACTGTAAAGATGCAAGAGCAGGAGGCCAAAAACAGAACTATTTAGGAAGAAGAAAGGACAGCAAAAAAAGAGAGACAGTTATCAGTGAGACACAGGAAAGAACCGAGGGAGAGTCTCACAGAAGCCAACGATAAGAGAACTCTCAGGAGGAAGTGGTGAACAGTGTACACTGCCCTGGGTTGAGTACCCTCAGCCCAGAAATTTTGAAAGGTCCTTGAAAACCTTAGCAAGAGCAGTTTCAGTGGAGTGGTGAGGACAGAAGTCAGAGGGCAGTGGGTTGAGAAAGGAGTGGGAGTTAAAGAAGACTTGACAATGAGCATACAAGGTTCTTTCAGAGAATTTCAGCTAGAAAGAGACATGAGGTCCAATGAATTTCTAAACTTGTGGTAAAACAAAAACAAACAAAAACAGAACAAGAAAATCTGCATTGGTATCCAACAGATCTCCAGAACATTTTTGTATTGCAAAACTGAGACTCTATACCCATTAAACAACAATTCCCCATTATCCTCAACCCCTAGCCCCTGGTCACCACCATACTTTCTTTTTTTCTATGTCTTTGACTACTTTAGATACCTCATATAAGTGGATTCATATAGCATTTCTTTTGGTGACTGGCTTATTTCACTTAGTATAATGTCCTCAAAGTTCATCCATGTTGTTGCTAATGTGACAGTATTTCCCTCCTTTTTAAGGCTAAATAATATTCCACTTTATGTATACAACACATTTTCTCTATCCATTATTCTGTCAGTGAACATGTGGGTTGCCTCCTTATGTTTATTGTGAACAGTGTTGCTATGAGCATGGGTGTGCAAATATCACTTCCAGACTCTGCTTTCAATTCTTTTGGATTTATTTCCAAAAGTGGGATTGCTGGATCATGTGATAATTATAATCTAAACTTTTTGAGGAAACTCAAGGACTTTAAAAATTATGATTTTAGTTATAAAGATACTTAAGTGTACTGGGGAATTGGCCTTATACAAAAAAAGGGTCCTGGAAGGTAAGATAGGTGTATCTCCAGGGACATGGAATAAAGACAGGCAGCATAAACAGGAAATTGGTGTGATCCCACCAGATGCTTTCTGTTTTCTCTACGAAGCATGAGAGAGCAACCGAGAGCAAGAGGCATTGTGAGAGCAATAGTCAGGTCTTGAGAAGTCCTGCACAGCAACTCAGACGAGAGGGAGAAGAAAGCTAACAAGGAGATGGATGGAAGTTTTCAGGGATAAGCTAAAGCTAGAGGACATGATTCTGCAAGGGTAACAGTCTGTATGTAACCCAGGGGTCTGAATATATGATGGATCATCCACATAGATGCTAAATGCTAGTGAATGTGGAGGCCTGACCAGGATGTCAATAGACAACAGGAAAATGGAGGGATAGGCTCAAGATGATGGCCAAATCAATGCATAACAAGTGCATATGGGTAGAATTCCAAGAACCACAGCTAACCTTTTGCATGAGGAAGCACTTAGGTAATTTGCTTTATCTAATATTTTGGGCAGATTCATCACCTCTAATTCTTCCAAATCTATTAAAATGTACAGTAAAAAAAAATTTTTAAACAGTAAAGAAAAAAAAAGATGTATATAGTATGGGCATGTTTTGTTTTTTGTTTATTAGGACTGTTTTTTTCCTAAATGAGGGAAATTCTCACTATTCAAGTACTCACAGCTTTAGCTACTTGCAATGTGAGAGACTTGGGTTCAATCCCTGGGTTGGGAAGATCCCCTGGAGAAGGAAAAGGCTACCCACTCCAGTATTCTGGCCGGGAGAATTCCATGGGCTGTATAGTCTATGGGATCACAAAGAGTTGGACATGACTGAGCGACTTTCAGAGACCAGGAACTGGGTCCTCACAAGGTTGGAAAAGCCAACTGCTTCCATACTGCCAAAGAGCAGGAAATAAAACTGCCACCCAGAGCCTTTCCCACTGCCAGGCAAAGGCACCAGCCCAGGCAGAGGTTATAAGAATAAGCACTGGGTTTGTGCCCATACCTGTTGTTTCAGATGGGCTCAAAGTAGCTGGATATTAAAATAAGAGAAAGAGGAATGTGCCAGGAAGGGCATAAAGGGGGAGAGGTGGTGGACTTCAGGAACCACATCAAGAGAGAAACACCTTTGGTGTGGAGTAACAAAACTGGACATGGAAGTCCACTGGGATGATTCCCTCTTTTTTCTGGAAGGGAATCACTGAGCTGAATTTCAGCTTCCTTCTAAGACAGTTGATGCAGACATGCCATAGGTGGACCCGCAGGCATCGCTGATCCTGACTGCTGCTGAGGGATAACAAGGGTGTGGAGAAGATGAAAGCTATAATTGCTGGAGCTAGGGTGCCATGGGGTAGAGGAAAGTATCTCACATTATTGAATATAAGTTTGTCCAACTCTTTTTGCGACCCCTTGGACTGTAGCCTGCCAGGCAGTGGGTTGCCATTTCCTTCTCCAGGGAATCTTCCCAACCCAGGAATCGAACCTGCGTCCCTTGCATCTCCTGCATTGGCAGACAGATCCTTTACCACTAGCGTCACCTTGGAAGACATAACAGACTCTTAATTTACCCTGAATGAAATGAAAGCTGTTGGTTTTGATCAGAGGCATTATATGACCCAATCATACATTTTAATAGCATTATTCTGGTTGTTGGATTGATTATCAGTGGTGGGGGGGTGGTTTGGTGGAGCAGGGGAGAGGGTGAAGCAAGGAAAGAAGTCCAGTAGCCTAGGAGGAAAACTGATGGTGGGTTGAAAAAGGATGGTGGCAGGGGAGGTGGTGACAAGTGGTCAGATTCTGGATATATTTTGAAAAAAACAGCTCATTAGATTTCCTGACAGGATAAAAATGAGAGGTGCATGGAAGAACAGAGTGAAAGATCACTCTCAAGTCCATGGCACAAAAAACTGGGAAGAGAGAATTGCCATTACCTTCGGATGGGAAATACTGCCAGTGGAAAAGGTTTATAGGGGAAGATGGGGGAGTTCGATATTAGACTCGTAGATTTGGATTGACTCTTATGCAATTTTCCCAGTAAAACCTTGAGAATAGGCCACAAGCTAAGAGTGAAGATGGAAGAAGCAGTGTTGGAGGTTTGAAGAGAGAAAATAGGTTGTAAAATAACAGGGTGGGCAGGGATGGGGGCATTGGAGAAATGAGCAGTCTGAAGATTTGGACTAAAAATCTGGTGGAAAGATGTTTTAGGTTAAATAGAGACACTGGGTGTTCCAAGATCTGACAATGCTCATTCTCTATGATCCAGGTACCTGAGTCCGCAGGTGGAGGGGCAGCCTTCCCTTCTGTGACCCACCGGGTGACAGATTAAATCTGGGATCACGTAACTACTGTTTAGCCTACCCTCTGCCTCAATGAAGTACACCAGGCAATGCCTTCCTTCATTCTACCCCCAGATGGAGATACTCTGCCTCCATTTTACCTGAGTTCCATTTGCCAGGAAGGATGGACATTTTACAATAGTTAGGAGCCTCTCCTGAGAGCTCCTGGCATCATACGGAGATCTACACAGATGCTTCTGTCTGCCCACACTGCTGTGAGCTACAGCGGTGGCCAGTCTGAGTTTCCTGTAGCTTTCCTCTTCCTTGAGCTCCATACAGCACCATGCTTTCTAATCGCGATTCCCATCAGCACTCCCTGAAGCAGAGTTCCATGTAGGCACCACACCTCAATGGGATACCTTTGAGTACCCAGTAATTAGTGGGATGCATCCAGGTAGGGGTGGCTACAAGAGCTATATTTTGGGGGTACTGGTTGCCCCACATATTCCACAAAGGCCTTACAGAGGAATGAAAATTTTAAAAACACTTTGGCCAGGAGGGCTGGGGATTGGAGGAGCAGCATCTCAGACGTCTGGACCTTTCTGGCCCCAAATAAGGATGCCCTGCAGGCATAATACCTCCTCTGGGTGTACGTGTTACTCGTTGTCTTCT